GTAGACAAGGACTCACTCTGGGACCCTGGAGCAGTCTCACTTTCTCCCAATAAAAGGATACCAGAAAGCCATGGCAGGAAAGAGAAAGAAGAGAGGGTACCTAAAGAGCAATAGTAGGGCAGGAGTTACATAGTGACCAGGAGATATCAAAGCCACCCCTGGAGCCCAAATCTGTTAGTCTCACATACTTTCACAGACTTTCTTCATGCCAGGATAGTGTACAGCAGCCAAAAAGAGAAAAGAAATTAAGAAAAAAAATCAAATATCCTTTAAAATATGTACCCTTCTGTTATGCAATTCAAAACAGAGAGCGGTTTGTATGATGTTACTTTAGCAATATGTTCTGCTACAGAAAGAGGCTGCTTCTTACTACACCATGGCATATAAGCAGACTGAACAGTAACAAAGACATCCAGAAAAACCTAATAAACTTTTCAAAAACTTTAATTATAAAAATATTCAAGTATTATGTCTTCTAGATTGATTGTATAACCATCTTTGTAGAGCAGTAATTTTGTTTCTGCATTGAAAACAATTAAACTGACAATACAAACATTGCTATCATATGTACAAACTAACAAACTGGAAAAGACAGACAAATGTTTTGCTCCATTTTCTCTTCAACAACATTTCTTTAGCAACATTCAGTGTCACATGTAAAAATAAGTAAAATTCCTGACAGGAAAATCCTGTTATTTCTAAGTCAGCATGTCCCTTCAAATCAGAATTAAGAAGCCTATTTCATTGAATTAATATATTTTACATGAATTAATATATTTTACATGACTAAGACACAACCTGCAGGTGATAGCAGTTCAACACAGTGTTTTTTGTGGTCAGTTGTAACCCAGGCACTAAATTCCCGAAGTATATTGGCAACTAAAACTGGAAAGTTCCCTCAAGGGAAGAGATAGTGTCTTCAGCAAACTATGCCCTGAGGCATGGAGTAAAGGTGTGGAAGATGCTTCAATAAGGAAAGGAAGAGAGAAGCATAATAAAGAGGGAAA